AACCCCAGCATTCAGGAGGCTGAGGCAGGATTGCCACAAGTTCAAGGCCAGCCTGAACTACATAAAAGACACCCTCAAAAAAAAAAAAAGTCATATATAATGGTATGCTTGCAATTTTAGGTCTGCTTTAATGGTTAAGACAGAATATTGTACCACATAATGATTAGCAAAAATTGAACTAGAAATCCTTAGCGTTTTCATGTTCATACACAAAATACAGAAATGTGCAGGACTTGGAAGTTGATTTAAGTTGTCAAGCCTAGACTATGTTGTGGGGAGAAAAGCTGAAATCACTTAGTACTAAAGTATCGGGGTCATTTTTCTATTAGTATCACACAAGCATTTCTGTTACCATTGCCAAATGATAATCATGAGCTATAATTTGCTCAGAGACCCTTGTGTATAACATGTTGAGAGATAGATTTTGATGCCTGTTACAGAGAAGTGGAGAACCAAAACAAATCCTTAGTTTTCCTGTACAGTGGAGTGTTGAACTTGTATGATGGTTCTAATGGAGTCAACAGCTCTGATTAAATGGGAAAATAAAACTAGTAAGTCATTAACCTTCAACAGCTTTATCAGTTTCGCCACCTTTGGAAGAGTAGAGAGGTGCACAGAGCCTGACCCTTTGGCATTGTTCAGCAGTCCCCATGGCACACATTATGCTTCTGAAAAGAAACTGCAAAAATAACGTTTACATTTGCATATGGATCTTTATTTTCTAAACATTAGTGTTGAAATCTTCAATATTTCATAAGTACATGAGGCGTTCTAATAGTGTGGACTAAGTGTGCCATGCAATCAGGCCTTTCTCCTGGATTTTGTAGGCCAGTGACCTCTCTCTCTAGTAGTAAGTTGAATTTTAAAAAACAACCTTCATAGGGTTAAATAGTTACTGATAGTGAATGCAGTCCTTTCATTCACTAGGACTCAACACATTGTGTTCCTCAAGTGTTTTAAGTATTTGAGGTGTAAAACGATTTCTCGTGAAGGCCACAGGAGATTCCACAGTTCAGTGATTGCACATTCTCTTCCAGCCTGTTTTGGCCTCCACCTGTGTTAAGAACTCATGCGGTGGTCTCTAAGCTGGCCATAGGTTGTCCTGACCCTCACATTGGGTTTGGGAGTGGTTGGCAACCACGATGAAACTGAAGGTTCTGGATCGTATTTCAATTTGCTTTAAATTCCATAGAGAAACAGCAGAAAATCAAACAGCATCTTCTGTGGCATTTACATTTTGTTGTTGTCTTTTAGGCACTCAGGGAGTCGCACCTGGCCCTGTAATTGGGCTGCAGGCGCCATCAACTGGTCTTCTCGGTGCCCGACCCGGCCTCATCCCACTTCAGCGCCCTCCGGGAATGCCTCCCCCTCATCTGCAGCGGTTTCCTATGATGCCGCCTCGCCCCATGCCGCCACACATGATGCACAGAGGGCCGCCACCGGGACCAGGGGGCTTCGCGATGCCGCCACCTCATGGAATGAAAGGGCCCTTTCCTCCACACGGGCCCTTTGTGAGGCCCAGTGGAATACCAGGGCTGGGGGGCCCAGGACCAGGCCCCGGGGGTCCTGAAGACAGAGATGGAAGGCAGCAGCCGCCTGCGCCACCGCAGCAGCAGGCGCCGCCGCCACCGCAGCAGCAGCAGCCGCCCTCACAGCAACAGCCGCCAGCAGCTCAGCAGCAGCCACAGCAGTTTAGAAATGAGAGCAGGCAGCAGTTCAATTCAGGTAGAGACCAAGAAAGGTTTGGAAGAAGATCTTTCGGAAATAGGGTGGAAAATGACCGGGAACGGTATGGGAACCGTAACGATGATAGAGATAATAGTAATCGTGAAAGGAGGGAGTGGGGAAGAAGAAGCCCTGAGCGGGACAGGCACAGAGACTCGGAGGAGAGAAGCAGACGCTCTAGTGGGCATCGAGACAGAGAGAGAGATTCCAGAGATAGGGAATCTCGTAGAGAGAAGGAGGAACCCCGAGGAAAGGAGAAGCCTGAGGTGACAGACAGGGCCAGTGGTAACAAAGCCACTGAACCTCCCCTTAGCCGGGTGGGAAATGTAGACACTGTTTCAGAACTTGATAAGGGGGAGGCCCAGGCCACTGTGGCAAAACCTCCTGAAGAGTCACCTGCTGAGGCTACCTCATCCGTTGAACCTGAAAAGGATTCTGGCTCAGCAGCAGAGGCTCCTCGCTAGAGACTGCGACTTGTCAAAATGTGACAGTGACACTTGCGGAGTGTAGAGCTTGAGGTGTACAGATGCTGTATTATATTTGCTCCTGCTATCTCACAGCCCCGCAGTAGTTGGGGAATTGTAAGCAATTTGATTGCTTCCCTTCTATTTAAAAATAGCTACAAAATAACAAAAAATACTGAAAATGAATAAATATTACCCTTTTTGCTGTAACTTTTTAAAAGTTTTGACTTTAAAAAGTTTACAAATCGTAATTAGAAGTGCTCTCTATTTTTTTTTTTAATTTAAGACAAGGTAACGGTGAAAGCTCCTCAAAACAATAGGGATGTTTTTAATAAACTCTATTTTCGTAACAAACTTTAATGTGTGCTATTCTTCCTACACTGCATTAAGGTGGAAAAGGATTGTTCACCTTCAAAGTTTGAGCTGTTAATAATGTGTGAGTCTAGGGCCGGGGATTTAGCTCAGTGGTTTCGCCACCTGCTACACAAGCGCAAAGACCAGAGTTTGATCCCCGGTACAAAAAAAAAAAAATGTATGAGTCTAAATTAGACTTAATGTGATGGAAATGGACATTTTTATGTAGTTCTCACTTTCATTTGTAATTCTCTTGAGTTTTTAGCACTTCAGTAAGAAAAGTTAGTGATTTTAATGTTAACTGAAAAGCTCGCGTTTGTAATTTAGTCCAGGTTTTCTATTTCCACTGGCTTTGTAGTAATGTTGCCCTAATTTGTAAAGGAGAGTTTCTGCTGGGGAAATATTGGATTCTCAGCATTACACATTGTACTGTTAATTATCTGATAGCCTAGGTATTAGGTTAACTGTTTAGGGTTTGTGGTTTTGGGTTTGGTTTTGTTCTTGTTCCATCCCATTAAGTTTTTTAAAAGGGTAAGAGAAAATCCAGGTAGCATTTCCAATCTGAAAGCTTCTTATCTTATGTAAGGATTGAAATGAACCTGCTGTTTCCTATAAGCCTTGCCTATTGCCTTTACGTTTTTAACTCCCCTGCTAGGCAGAGGTAGCCAGGTTTTTGCCACATGTGAAGCACTTTTTGCTTTGCTTAAAATTCTTGGGTTGGCTGCTGGTAGTGTACCCTGGTGGTACAGTGCTTGCCTAGAATGTGTGAAGGCCTTGGGTCCCATCCTTAGTACCAGGAAAAAACCTGCTGGCTAACTAGGAAAATAGTTGTAGGTTATCCAAGAAGTACCACATGAAAACATCCGCCACCAAATTAAGCCTGTATCTCAAACAGTACAGAGAAGCATAAAACTATAGACCCAGTGTTACAGCCTGCTGAAGCTTGCTTCAGTTCTTAAGCCATCCTGTTTCAGTGTGCTGAGCAGTTAATGTTCTTTCCCCCATTGCCAGGTGAAGCTGCTTCATGACTTTGGGTTTTAAATTGTACTCTGCAGCAAGGTCTTTGTTATGGACAGAGGATGTATTCTAGGGCAATATTCCTGCCTTTTAAAGCAAGAAAATTCCATTTCGTATCTGTGGACTTAAAAAACTTTTATGTTGGCCCAGCTTAGAAGTTTGAAAGTCCTAACTGAAACTGCTTTTGGAAAGAAACACTGATTATCTGTGTCCAGATTTCAAGTACTTTCAGCTTGTCTTTCCAGTTGAAAGCATTAAGACCATCCTATCTGCACATGAAAAAAACCCAAAAGTACTATCTGGTAGTATGATTATACTTGAGGCTTCAAGTCAGTCCTTGTACTTGAATCATCCCACATGTGCAGCAACTGTACACTGGTATGTTTTTAAACTACTGGAAGTCACTTTAACCACTATGAGCATACTGCTCTTTATCACATTTTTATACTTTGAGAACACTAGCTGTTCCTCCTAAATGACATCCTATATATTTGATATAGTTCATATTTATGAACAGGATTATTCCTGTTTTCTCTATCAGAAATACACGATTTTCAACGGAATAAAGACCTGTAATCCTGCCAGGGATTTAGCTCAGTGGTGCTGCCACCTGTCTTGCAAGCGCAAGGTCCCGAGTTCAATCCCCAGTACAAAAAAAAACAAACCTGTAATCCAGATAGTCAAAAACCTGAATTTTCATTTAAAATATGTTCATTTACATGAAGATAGACAATTTCACTAATTGGGTGTAGAAGTTCTTGTATTTCAAAAGCCAGACCCACAATGAGACACTTCCTTGGTTTCCTCTTCCAATATTAAATATTAGTCTATTTCTTTAGAGGTCCAATCTGAAGACAGATTATGCCAGAATCCACCTTGAAAAGTACCAGTGTAGCAGGCAGGTAAATTAATCTTAGCTGAGGGCATGGCTTCCTTTTTACAAGTTCACTAAGTTACCAAGGAGCTCTTAAACTATCATCTGCTTTTACAATAAATTTAAGTACTTTACGAATCAATCAAGTTTCCCTAAAGGTGACCAAGGACAACCTATTTGTCTAGATCAAAGTTTAGGTTGCCATAGCTAACAGACCAGCTGCTCAAAGTTTATGCATTTTGATGGTCTGACAACATTTTCAAAACAGTGCTATGAAATGGTCTGTTCCATTCAAGCTCTGTGTGTAAATGAGTAAGAAAGCTCATTAGAATTTTGGTTTGCATACTTCAGTGCCACAAACAGTGTTTATTCACTGGCTTGAATGAGACTGAAGAAGTTCAGACAGTAAACTCAATATCCACGTGTGATCAAATCTGGGAACATACAGAAATCATTGAAACAGACATTTAATTGAATGATTTTATAAAACTATACAAATCTTCCAACGAAACAAATCAGTTTTCATTACACAAGTACTTAGAGCAATTAAGAAAAAGCCACACAAATTACACTTTTAAGATTACACTGTTTAATGTTTTTCAAGTTAAATTTCCACAGCTAGCAGGATGACACGAGTGACTAGGACTTGGACCACATAGCAGGGAATGTTTACTGGGCGATCCCAATCACACCACAAGCCAGGCGACTTCCAGCATTTCCGGTCTTTGTACTTTCTTCATTCCCACCTTTGCCCAGGTCATCTTCTTTTTCATGGACCTTTAAAAAGATTGAAAACATTTAATTGTGGGCTATCAAGTAATTAACACCTATTCCCACCAATACTCCAAAGACTTTTAAGAAAAACTGATGTTAGAAAATAGTATGTTAAAATAACCCTACTAGTAGAGAAATAATACTGGTATTTATGCTAGCAGTTTAACAGTAGAAATTACCACACAAAGCTTTTCCTTGCTGGTGCAAAACCGTGTTGTCTTTAAATACTAGGTAAGTGTTGCTATTTCTAAATGGAATACTTGCTTACAGGCCACCACGTGCTGCTCTTCATCCTCCACAAAACTACGAGTAACCTTAGTTAATAGTAAACTCAAAATTTCATGCCCAATAACTATAAATACTTAAAAGTATTTAGCAATAGTACTTTAAGTTTTGCACATCAAACATTTAGAAATGATTTTTCTGCTTCACCAATAGGGCTGAAGAAAATTCTAAGGATAAAGGGCCAGCTGAAAGGAAGTCCCTACTGAATGTTAACTGCCCCGAGGGAGGAGGTATGAAGCCCATGTGGCTCCCCAGGGAGACCTGGGAAGAGCCATCCCACCGGGTAAACAAGGATATTAATATTGAAGTCCATCCCAATTCTAGACTCAACAAAATGTCTGTTTAACTACAAAGGTTAACAGTTATGGCAAGAAAATCTAGCTGTTTGAAACCAAAGACTACTATTTCCCCAATTCATGTCCAATATGATCAAATGTAACCTGCTTTTTATTGTGTCTTAGAATAACATTTTTACCTGATCCAGATAAATCATTTTCACTGTAATCATCCAATAACCAAACTGCTTTTCCTAATCTGAACTGAAAGTACAATTTACATGGCTCTTGAGAAACCAGGAGCATCCATCTATGAAGTGATGAAAAGATACATGGTTGTGTATTACAAGAAATCTTACACATATCCTCCTTGTATGAAAACTTACCACCATTGTGCGGCCAATGATGGAATTCGGTCCGAAAAGTGAGATCAAAGAATCCTCAATGGATACTTCAGCCACACCATCTGTGCCTGCAGTCACATTGCCCAGGTCTCCAACGTGCCTAACAGTGAAAAGGCATCAGATGGATTAGAACTGGATTCCTCTGAACATCAGGAGAGTAATGAGATAAATTAAAACGTGAGTCAAACATAAGGATGGGGGCTCAGAGTATTAGACAAGATTACTTTTCCAGACCGAGCAAAGTTGGAAAGCACAAATTTAAAAACAAGTAGCTAAATACAGCTCTTCAATCAAGGCTTTCAATGCAGAGTAATGGTCTGAGAAGTCATGGGATGGGTCGCACCTCTGACTGCAGGGGTAAAGAATTAAACAGTAAAGGCTCAGCTACTGAGTTACGCCTACTAGTTAATCGCATAGTTAAGAAAGATACCCCTAGGCCTCTGTTATAAAAATTAATCCTTGTTCTTAAATTCAATACTTTCTTAAAAGGCTTTCAAAAAACTTACACATGGAAACGGAGTCTCAACTACTTTGCAGTACCAACAGTACCTACAGAAGCTTGTTTCAGAATGACAGTTTATTTTGCTAATGGTTGACAGTACTGTTTTTCAAGACATTTCTTGTATTAGCTCCCTTTGGCACTTGTGTTAGTTCTATATTCAATAAATGCTACAAAACCAATTGTTTTAAGTGTACCCATTTGTCAACTCCTTGGCCCAGGGAAGAAATCATTCCAGCACTTGGGGATGGGGGAGTTGAGGGGGAGAGAAAAATTCAAAAACAGAGGCAGGGAGGCTACTCAGTTATCTCAGTTTCTGCAAGCAGACACCATATTAACCCCACAAAGCCCTAACCATTGCGGTGTAAGAGCTAAGCATCTTGCTGCTCACCTCTCTTCGTCCTTTGGCCCACCATGTTTTTTGGACAGAGGATTAAAGTGAGGACCTGCACTGGTACAGCCTATTTCAAAAAAAAAAAAACAGAAACAGCTAAATTATGAATCAAAATAAAAAATTATAAAAGTGATCACTGCTAAAAGGTCCAATGAAGAAAGCACTGAGCTGCATCACGATTTCTGGGATAATAAAACCAGGAAGCAACACGTTGGGGTGGAGTAGAGATGAGTGGTAACTACTGACACGAGTCAAGTTAACATCCTTCTCTGGCTTTGGTTTCTTCTTCTTAAAACATGCAAGTCAGGCTTCATGTTCAACGGCTCTCTGGTAACTAAAATCCCATGATTATGATCCTGGTTTGTAAGAAGGTAGCGTGCTTTAATTATAGTTTATCTCGCCAACAACATACCACCAAGAAGTTCTGCCTGCAGCCTTTACTTGGTGCAGCCAGGATATTAAACTGCACCTATATACAAGGGCCAAAACTGCTGCCCTGCACAACTCCAGGGAGTGGCACTCCGATTGCAACCTGTATAAATGGCACTGCTTTGGTGACACACAGTTGTAGGTCACTAAGACCACAACTGACACTGTAAGAGGTCCCTGTATGATCGGGCCTTCTTCATTCAGCAGCCAATGCAAAGTTTCCAGTGTTTATAGCTCCTACCCAGCCACTGGGGAGTCCCACACAGGGGAGAGGCAGCTTAGAGGAAGTACCTTAGCAAGTCAAAGCTACAGAGCAGTCCCCTCCAAACTGGGGACAGAAACATCAACTCTGGTCATTACGTACCTGTATGTGACACACACATTCTGCCAAAATGGATCGAGTTCTCACCATAAGGGGTCTTCTGTACATAAAGTTCAGGTTATTACTCAAATAGAGCAAAAGAGCACCAAACACAATTTTACCCACAAAGCTTCGTTAACTTGCTTCTAATCCCAAACTGAGAAAAATCAAACTCATTCTAAAGTACCACTATCTTCTAGCTTCGGTTTGTACCTCTTCCTTCTTGGCCCTGGTACCGCGGACCGAACCCAGGGCCTTTCCACCAAGCTAGATCACCCACTTCTATACTTTGTACCACTGTGGTCTCATGTTGGGGTGTGGAGCTGTTCTCAAGTGTAGTGCAAACATACCACAGCCTGTGCTTGAAGCAGCCACTTCCAACCCCTAGTGCACAACACCTGGAGAGCGAAGGTATAGGTGGGCATTACACCAGCACAATACCTACCTTTGGTGTTATCGCCAAACTCATGGACATGGAATCCGTGCTGGCCTTCATTCAATCCTGCAATGCGTCCCTTTACCACAACTGGCCCGTTTCCCTTTATTCAAGGAAAAGTGCATTAAGTTTAGTAGCCAAAAAACACCGCCCTATCCCACTGCACCTGATGGGAGCAAGAGGCACCTCTGCAACCAGGTAACTTTCCCTGGTAACAAAATCAAGGCACTAAAGCAGGCGGAAAAACCGAAACAGTTCCAGGTGCCATTCAGGCAACAGGGGTGATGGTGCCACAGGGCTACATCCAGAAATCAGGGAAGTTATTATCACGGCTCCAAAGCGACCTTAGAACTCAGAAAATACACACAGCAACCACACCACATGGTACGTAAGGCACACGCCGCTGTCTGTTTTTAGGTTGGCTTGTTTTTTAAACAGCCAGAGGCAGCAAGTACAAAACTAAAGTATCAATTCTCCCTCCCCTGAATTTCAGACACCTGTATGCACTATTGCTCCTATCCTCACAATTCTGTAAATCACTTGAAGTAAACCTCACTCCTAATTTTTAAGACACGAACAACGAAATTTTCCTCCAGTTGGTAAGCTGAAGATTGACTTAACAAGTATTCTGGCAACTGCCCTTTTTTTCCTTTTTGAGAAACTATACTGAGTCTTCTCGGTACAGCATTAATTCTAGAAGAACTCAAATATGAATTAAGACAGGTACTTTGAAACCTCCACTTAATGGGTAATGCACACAGCACTTTCACGTGGCTCTTCACAAAGTAAGCTGTATCGTATGGCACAACCCCCTGCGACCATGCTCACTTCACAAGAGCTTACTGCCCCAAGGCCAGTGCTGTCTTGGGTTAAGGGAGGCCTAGCAAGAACACATCTCCAAAGTCTTCAGGATAAGCTAGGAACCAGATGTAAAAAAATTCCGATTTTTAAAACTTTGCACCCAATCCAAAGTTTTAAACACTTAAGAGCCCAAACCAAGAGTTTATAGCCAATGAATTGCAACCTGCAAGAGCTGTAATGCTTAACTATCCAAGGGTCCTCCTCAAGTACAAAGGGCACGAATATGAAGTTTGGAAATGAGCTGAGGACCCCTGCAAGTTGCTCTCTGCAAGTGAGACAGCTGGTCTTTCCACTCCTCAGTGGCCGGAGGGAGGGTTCCCTCAGAGCCTTCCCAAGAGTCACCAGTAACTGGTGAATTATATGGCAAGAAGAAAAAAGGGGCAGTAGAGCCAAGTCTTACAAATGAAACAAAACAATGCAAAATGTAGTCAAATGCAAAAAATACAACCTTTTTCCAGAATATGGAGACCAACAAAGAAAAAAACCTCAAATATCAGTTCTCTCTTGCAGAAACCACAGAGACTCGCATACACTGCTTCTGCTCATTCACATATTAAATATTCTCTCGTGGTTATTAGACTATGCGTTAACAACACTTCCCTGCAGTTAGTTGGTAATCCCACTAAAGCTCTGCTGACTGCCTTCTCACAAGCACTTCCTCAGAAAATTCTCTCTGAGGGCCAAGGGTATAACTTGGTAATTCAGAGCATGCACTAGGCCCTGACCTCAATCTCCAGCACCAACAAATTTTTAAAAATTGTCTTAACTATCTCAGCAACCTGCCTACTGGCAGTGTAACTTTAAAGCCACTTTACAGAGCATTTGGTTGAAAGAACCCTCCAAACAATTATGAAAAATGCCAGCTTCATGTAATAGAAACTTCAGGTGCCAAAATTTCCAAATTCTACACCCCGCCCACCGTACACAGGTCTCAAGTCTACGTGCGTATTAAGCCCACTTTGGAAACTTTAAAAAACAGCAATCACTGCACTGAGACAAATCTTTCTGTAACTGGTGCGGGCCAGGCCCTTGAATCTCTTTCCTAAAAGGTCCCAAATGAGTCCCCTGGGCACTAAAGGGGATAACAGCAGCCCTGGAAAACCCCCCAAGAGTCAGTAAGGTCTCGGGCTTCAGAAGCCTTCAAATAGAAAAAGGGTCATTGTCCAAGGCCACCTTCTCCGCCCCTGCGGCCTGACCATGACCCAGGACAGACGGGCCCTGCACTTTCCTGCGAACTGCCGCCAGGCGGGCTCCGCGGCGCTAGGCACCCCCGGAAATCGGACTGCGCCACTTAGGGCCCGCGGGATCCTCCGCAGCAAACAGAAAGAACCCACCAGGGAGGGCCGGCGACGCTTCTGAGGCGGCCCTGGTCACCCCGAGGCCCCGCGGGCGGCACCACCCCTCCTTCCCGGGCCTGCACCGCGGGACCCAGCCCCGGCCGCGCCGTGACTCAGCAGCCGGCGGGCGCACGCGGGCGGCAAGGAGCGGAGAGGAGCGGAGCGGGCGGGGGCGTGGAGAGGGCCAGGGCGAGGGCGGCCGGGCCGCGACGCGCTTCGGGCGCAGGTGCGCAGGCTGGCGCGCTTCTCCGCGGGCCTCCGCCCCGGGCCTTGCCTGCTGCTCGAAGTGGATGGTGCCGTGCACCGGGCCGTCGCCCTTCAGCACGCACACGGCCTTGGTCGCCATGACTCGCGGGGCGCGGGCGCCAATCCGGGGCTGAGCACTGCACGGGTGGCGAACGACGCGGCGGGAGACGCCGGTGCCGGTCGACTTGCGGGAGACTCGGCTACTTTATAGGCCAGACCTCCGGGCCCGCCCACCCTGGCCCAGAACCAATCGCCGCCCTCGGGCCCTGCCCACCTCCAATGGCTGCCGCGGGACCCGAGTGGCCGGGACTGCGCGGGGGCGGGGCTGAGGGCTGCGTGGGGAAATCCGCCCCGGGACTCGCTTTACCCCGGCTCCGGAGAAAGGTCTAGAAACCCGAGACCGCTGGAGGCCGACCTTTCGCCTCCAAGCCCTGTAATCCGCTGATCGCACATCGGTACCGGGAAGATGAGGGCTACGCGGAGATCTGGGAAACCTGCAGCCCCTTTGTCCAGAAATGTAATTAGTTAGGACTGAGTTTGGTCCTCTCGTCTCATTTGCTGTTTAGAAATAGGAACGCATCAAGATGGATGCTTTTCCTAGTTTTCAATTTTGCTCTGTTTTAGGCTGTCTGACGGTGTTTGAAATCGATACCTTTCAAACTCTGAGCTCACCTTTTCTTCTTTGCAATTGTCTTAGTCCCTGGCACACAGAATTACTTGTTTGGTTAGCAGAATTTTTTTTTCCTGGCCAGGGCGCAAGATAGCAAAATACCAACTGATTGGCTTCTATCTATCCCGTGCGTTTTTTGTCTGGTTCTAAGGCCACACACTCAAGGACAAGGATAGAATGATTAAATAATTTATGATACCTCCGTACAGCAGAAGAGAGAAATATTTGACCCTTCAAGGAAAATATTTCAAAAACATTGTGAAATGAGCAAACAGCACAAGCTATTTTTGTGGGCTTTTTTTTTTTTTAAAGGATCAACATGTTTACTTGTGTGTTCAGCAGTGTCTAGAAAGAGAGATCATGGGTACCTCGTAGGAGTGCAGAATAAACTTTTACTGAATTGTCTTTACCGTGACCGTGCATCTGTCTGCAACAGCTTCGCTTTGCTTTTCTTAGAATGTGATCATACACTTTATTTGGGAGAGGAGTTTGTCAACAGTCAGGGGAGTGGCAGGAGGACATCCTCCATCCCTGGGGGTGTCCCTGGGTAACCACACATGTGGCCGCCCTGTTCTCTGATCAAGAGTGGGTTCACTTAACCTGCAAGCCACACCTCATCACCTTGGGGGCTCCTGGAGTGGCAGGTACCTGGGCCCTGGCTCAGAAGGTCTGGGGCAGGGCTTCAGGAGTTGCATTTGTGGCTTGTCCCCTGGGGAGCACCTCTAATTTTGGCATTCCTCATGCCTGGTGAAGTGAAAGCTGGGGACAAGACTTGATTCAAAAGAGAAAGTGAAGAAGGTGACCAGAAAGAGACGGGGCAGCCAGATGGGCCTGCCATGGGACAGCTTGAGGGATTTCTGTTTTGTTTTGTCAGATTTAAATTATCCCCATTTCATCAGCAGCTAGCAATACAATCTGCATTGCCCTACTGCTCAGAAGACAGGGTTCGGTTTTTTGAGACAGGGGTCTTGCTGTGTAGTTCAGGCTGGCCTTGAACTCACCTGTAGCCCAGGCTGGCTGGGAACTCATGATGATCCTCCTGCCTCAACCTCCTGAATGCTGAGATTACAGGTGTGCACCACCCCACCCAGCAAGATTTAGTTTTGAGGAAGGCAGAGTACTGAAGTCTAGATCAAGCCGGGTGTGAAACAAGAACAGAAACTGCTCCAGTTACATTCAGGGCACACTTTCATTTATTTGTCTATTTAGACCATGGAACTCTAATCCATTTTCTGTCAGAGATAAGCACCTCACATTATATCATCCTCTAAGAAGTGTGCCTACTTGTAATTTGCACTAGGGCACTAGTGCAGTTCTAGGGTATTAGGATACTAGTATTCTCCAGATAACTAGCATGTGGTAAACAGTTACATAAGCGCAAATGCCAGCCAAAGGGCCTTTGTCCGAGGCTGAAGTTTCTTAGGGTTCCAGGAAGTTAGGCAGAGTTCACTTCATTGTCGACTTGCCAAGAACACAGCTCACAGACAGAAAGAGCCGCCTGGGATACTGAGTTAACAACTCACACATGTTCAGAGGAAGCAGATGGCCCCTGTCTGGATCCAGGGAAGGGCTCTGTGTCCTGCAGCTGAGAGGCATTCTGAGTGTCCTCCTACTTCCTCTCACCCCTGGGCTTCGGGTGCCAGGCTTCAGAGGCCCTGTTCTGCCCTCCTCAGGTGACCTCCCCCTCCCAAGATTCAGTACAGCTGAGAAGCTGCTCCCATCCACACCTCGCCTCTCCTAGAACAGGGTTAAGGGATTGCTTACTGTGTGATGCTGTACTTAACAATATTTGTGTCCTCCTAACTCCCGTGCCCCAACTTCCTCCCTGTTGACATTCTGGGCTGATAATTCCTTTTTGGGGAGGATGTTTAGTGGCATCGCTGGCCTCTTCTCTTTAGGTCCTAATAACATCCTCCACCTGCTCCCAGGGTGTGACACCCAAAGATGTCTGCAGACAGTGCCTGGACACCCCCAGCTGAGAACCACTGTCCTAAACACTGAGTGAATATTACCCAAGACCCTAGAATTCCCTGCCCAAACAGCCTTGAATTTGTGAACAGGCAAAGGAGGAACTGTGCCACCAAGGCTGACCCTAGGCCCCTTGCAGTGTGACAAGAGCCAAGGACGGGAGATGGGGAAAGACCAGTAGTAGGCAAAGTTCAAGAATTTCAGAGGCGAACAAAACCGCCTTCAGATAGGGGCGTGTTTGCTGAAATGGGAAGATAGGATCTATTTTGTTTAGCTGTGTTGTTTTGGTTTATGACAGCTAAATCCTTCCCCCTTGGTATGAGGGCCTCTATGCTTTGTCTTAGTCCTGCAAATGTTAGGGCCGGTCTGTTTCTTCCAGCTTTGACTTTGCTCGATCCTATGGCTTCAGGGGGTTCCTGCCTCTGTGATGTAGTCAGAGTCCCTGTGTTTCAAACGGGTTTGCCAGAAGGACTCAGAAATGGAATTTGGAAAAGTTCACTCTTGTACCAGGTCAGTTTCTCAGTCTTTGTCTCCAAGAAGTGGGCAGAATCCGACGGTCGCTTGGATCCTTTCCCACCTGGAACGTGGCTTGAATGTGACAGGCAGGATGTGGCCCACGGAACCCAGAGACCAACTGCGGAGAGGAGGAGGAGGTGCTGCAGGTAACTTGGGACTTCAGTGTGTGCTGATGATGAGGCAGATCCTGCATGGCATCCAGCCAGTCCTGGGAGTGTGGCCCTGTGGTTGGGGACCCATATGGCCCCAAGGTGCACAAACTGGGTGGAAATTCACTCTTGTGTTTCCATTCCTTTCCTTGTCCTCCTTGCTCTTTCTTAGGACTCTCCCTTCTATTTGCCCCTTTATCTCATCTTTCTCTTCCTGCAAATTGGTTTTTCCTCTGTGACCCTCATCCTCAGGAAAGAGGTAGTTTTCTGTAACCTCCTGCAGATACTTCCCAAAGGGATCGTCCCCAAGACCTCCGCTCTGAAGTCTTCCCAGCACATCAGAACTAAGTGAAACCCAAACGACACAGAATACAAAGAGACTGTTTCTTTCAGATTTGGAGGGGATGTTTTTTATTATTTAGTACTGAAGGTTGATACCAGGGCCTCACGTGTGCTAGGCAAGGATGCTACCACCATGCTACACCCCCAAGATTTTTATTTTTTTATATGACACAGAGCATTGCTGAGTTCTCCAGGCTGGCAGTCCTCCTGCCCCAGTGTGCCAAGTAGCTGGGATTACAGGTATGTACACTGTACTCAATGGGAGCCGTATTTTAATGCTAAAAAATGAATGTACTGGTGACTATGGAGCAACTTACAAAGAGTGAAAAGTAGTATTAGCTAGTACCTATCTGCACATATTTAATGTCAGTATTCCAGTTTCTTTTCTTCTTCCTCCTCCTCCTTTTCCTCCTCCTCCTCCTCTTCTCCTTCTCCTTTTCCTTCTCCTTCTTCTTCTTTTAAAAACTTACAGGCATAGTGGCACATGCCTGTAATCCCAGCACTCAGGAAGCTGAGGCAGGAGAATCACTGACAGTTCGAGGCCAACCTGGGCTACATAATGACTTTAAGGACGGACTGAAATACATAGTGAAATCCTGTCTCAAAAAAACAAACAAACAAAAATTTAATTTATATTGCTAGCAGGAATGAATAGCCTGGGATTGGAACTTTGGATAAGTCTGACTTAGCTGTATATTTAATCATCTGGATAATGACACATGTCACATGCTGCTTAGCACTTGCAGTTGGTTTCTGACCCACCTGTGGCCCATCGTGTCATCCAGTCCTTCCCTCGATGCCTCAGCTGTAAATCACAGGTACCTGGGCCAGACGCCGTGGGTGACGGCCCTGGCTGCACATTAGAATCATCTGGGGAACTTAAAACCAAACAAAAAACCCACTGAACTTAGGCCTCACCATAATAAAATCTTTAAATTGTGTATATTTCTATTACAATAACAATTTTTTTTTGGTACCGAGGATCAAACTCGAGACCTTGCGCTTTCGAGGCAGGCAGCGGAACCACTGAGCTAAATCCTCGGCCCTATATTTCTATTACAAATGCACATTACATTGTCGCAACACACATAAGAACTTGTCAGCGCTTATTGATGGAGATGGGCTGCTAATCTTAGCACTTTCCATCATGTAAGAAAAAATAAACCTTTCTTTGGTTACATAAGTAAAGCCAGATTTCTATAACGTGTGGTCAAAAACAATTTCTTTTTTTTTTTTTTTTTTTGGTACGGGGAAACTCAGGTCCTTGCGCTTGCGTAGCAGGCAGCAGAATCACTGAGCTAAATCCCCAGCCCAAAAGCAATTTCTTGCTGGTGGAGATGGGAAGCCACCGAAGGAGTTTCAGCAGGAAGCGCCCTGATTCTTTTCCCCCAAGGGGGACCACGGTGTACCGGAGACAGAGCGGGTGGACTGGAAGGAAGCGGGTGACAGTGGAGGCGGAGACCGGAGAACTTTGGGGAGACTTGATAAGGGCCCTGCCTAGGCCGGTACAGGAAGGAAGAGGAGAGATCAAGAAAATGGGACCTCAAACTCCACTGAGGGGACGACCACGATGCCC